AGAGATAATGCTAGCGAGCGTTGATCCTTCGCGAACAACACGATGTACATACGTCAATTATGCGAGCAGTTGTTTACTTACGCGGCGCGCGACAAGATCCATCGAACGAAGACAGACGTCTCACGCGGTAACATTTTTTTCGCGTGAATTTTGAATATAATATTTATCTCTATCGTCACAATTTTCATAGTTTTAATTTTTTATTCACGTTCGCGTTCGCCATTATTAATTTGATAGGTTTGCGAGTTTCACCGGATCGTATTTGCGGAAGAGTCGCGAGCGAACTTCGCAGAAATATTACGGAGTTATTATCCGCAAAAACATTGTGGAATTGTCTTCGCAAATGTATTGCTGAGATGTTATTCGCAAAAATATTGCGAAATTGTCTTCGCCAAAATATTGCGGAGCTGTATTGCAGCGTACTACGCAGCACCATCGAAACGTTATATTAGGGATATTCCGTATTGTATGTGAGAATCTCGCACAGATTACTTCGCCCACGTGTCGAAAGATTTCGCGAGATCGACCTTGAAATCGCGTCGTATGTTCCCTTCGCTCGCAGATTCTGTTTTGTTCGTAAGCGATTTGCATCGCGCGTGTATCATAGCGATGCACTACAACTCGATCGGACCGTTGCTGAATTCGTCGCACATACTCGTCGTTTATCCGAAAGACCGACATTTCCTCGAAGATGCAGTTCGCGATATTTCATACGCAATTCGCAACTCGAACTGTATCCCCAAAGACAGATGGGGTTTTTCGTAAAACCTCCGTTAGATTACCGCAGTCGGGAGTGAATTACAGGCGACGTGGGACGCGAGGACTATTGCAGTGTCAGATGCAGCGACAGGATGGCTAGTGGACCCTGGACACCGTGGGACGACGCGCAATGGTGAGCGCAGAATTTAGACGCTCATATAGTAGACACAAAGCATCACTTTACGTAGATTGCATGCACGTAGATGTAAATCGCATTGGGTTCAACAGGAAGTAAAGTAAGAATTGGAATTTGCAATTCGTCGGAGTTACGTAAGAATGATCCAACCAAAGAATTTAGCTCTGAGATTTTCGCAACAGTTCGACGAGTGAAGTATTTCCATTTTTTTTTAAATACTGAGTAGTTCAATTCTTAGGAAAATGTGCAAAAAGACATGACTGATAAAAAATAAATAACTGTTTCTTAATTTCTTCGAAGGATATATAAAGCTTGAGTACTTTTTGTTTGTTTTAAAAAGATGTGAATAGGGTATGCATTGATAGAAGCTTATAACTTTCTGAATTGCATCATTCTTGCATAACAACGGCCAACTGAAATTTCGACTCAGCAGGCTTCCCCCTTGTTGGATTATTTCTTAATGATACATTAAACTGGTATATTTCGGATAGTTTTTTAGGATTTTCTATAGAAACATTCGGCTTTGAAAATGTCTATTTTCGAAAATTACGTCAGATATGCTTATTTCGTTCTGTATGGTTTCCGGGCTGACAACGAGTGTTTGTGTGACTCTGTAGCACACCCAGCACCTTGAAAATATTTTTCCCACATCCCAAAAACACCC